ATTAAAAAGAAATAAAATTTATTTTATTATTTTTTATTTATTTTTTTATTTTATTATTTATATTTATTTTATTTCCGGTCTAGTTTTTAGGTGGAAAGTGATTCAAAGGAAGTTAAGATGCTTGGATAATTTTCTCTATGCTGTAGCTATTGTGCAGTTTGTGAGGATCCCTTGTTAGAATTTTTCCGAACTTTTCGATTAATTGGTATCAAAATTTGTTTCATTGCGATTCCGTTCCGCTATGACCCATGTGATCTTTTCCCTTTTCTTTCTCCGTTTAACGAATTTTGGACTCTTTTTTTTTTGAGAGTGTGAGGTACTGTTAAAATTACGAACTGTTTGGACTCAGTGCAGTGTTAGCAGCCGTCCCCGTCGCCGGTCGCGCCTCCTAAGCCCCCTCAGCTGAACGCTCGCCGGCGCAGCCACGATTTCAATATCAAGGAGTATGGTAATCTATCCAATTTGCGAAGATCTTTCCTTGTCCTATCATTGTTCGAGAAAAAAAAAAAGAAAAACCATACACACATACCACAAAAAAAACAGAGGGACAAACTTGTACCCGATTCGTTCACACATATATTTATATAGATTTTACACTTCTTTCGTTGTCTCTAAATTCCTTTGCGTGCGTAGCACTATTTTAGAAGTAGTATAACGAGTAAATTAGAACAATCTTAAGATTGAAGGAAAGGAGATGGACACGTACAGAGAAAGTAATTTAGTAAATAAATTCTATGAAGTCTCAAGTGCAGTGACAGAATTTTTTCACCTCGCGTCTAGCCCTCCGCAATAATCTCGCCACCCTTGCTCCCCTTTCCTCTTATCCACGATAGTCGAGATTATCGCAATCAGTGCGTCAATACTAAACGTCATACCGTAACATAAAAAAAAAATTCGCAAATAATGATTATAGACCACAAACCACTTTTTATTCCCCCCCTTCTTTTTTTTGCCAATGTATGTATATGCCTATCGTGTAGTTTGACAACAAAGACGCCCGCTTATTCTTCCATTCGGTTCGGGTTACGTCTTTGCGAGAATTTCTTTAAGCGTGGAAACAAAACAATTTAGCAATCTGAATAGTGGCCTAATCCGCCCCTCCCTCTTCCTCGTCGGAGGTAACAATATTAAATAAAATATTTAAAATAATTTATTAATTACTACATATATATGTATATCAATTATTATTTATTGTTATGCGTACATATAATACACGAATTTTTAAATTTTCATAAAGTTAAATTTGCATATTAATTTTTTGCAATATAGAATTATATATGCATATAATTTTTACATATATCATATATAATGTTTTAATTTAAATCTTACATATATATCGCCTATAAATTTAAATCATACGTGTATAATATTAATAATAAAATTATATAATATTATATTATATGGCATACCTATTAATTTATGTAATATTAATTATATAATATTAATAATAAAATTATGTAAAATTATTTGTTAAAATATGTTCCAAATACAAAAATCAAGTAGTGTTTGAATAAATCTAATTCATCAACTTCTGTATTTCTTTTAAATCCAGTTCACAATAACGGAAGTTTGTTTCACTTATATTTGCTGTACCAACAGCATAACGATGAAATTTATTTGAACAGACCATTAACCGATTCCAATAATTTGAAACTTTCATTGAAGGAATAGCTTGCAATTTTTCGAAGTCTTGTGCGAGCGTCATCTTAAAATTAATATATTATTTTACAATGATAAAATCATACTAACAACTATTATACATGTATTTAACAATCTTTAATAAAATTTGAAATAAATAATTTATTATTAATTAATATGTAAAGAATAATTGCAATAGGATATCTTACCATATTGTTATCGGGTTTCTTAATGCCTACAATAGATATTTCCTGAGTATTTCCATAAAATATATAATTTCCCGCTGATGCGATCTGTCCTGTTTGGGTTGGCAGTTTAATCGCGAGTTTACTTTCTTTATTAGCATTTTCCTTATTTGGACATTTTAGTAGTGTCTCCAAATTTATCTCATTGATTTCCATTCTCGATAAAGAAGCATAATAAACAACTGGAACATTAAAAAAATATATAAAAAGATTATAGAAATCGAGGAAATGTCATTGATTATTTGCAAGGTAGTTTTCGATGTTTTAATTATTAGTGCGCACATCAGCATAAACGTATATGAATATTAGTATAAAACAAGCAAAGGAAATTACGAATGGAAATGAGGGGTTGTTAGTTTAAAATTAAATTCTTAACACTCGTTAAAAGTGATAGAACTAAATAA